TTATTTTATTGAAATCAGTAACATTACTGGTATGCTTTGTATTTCTGCTGTGAGTTATTGGTCATGCTGGACGTCAGGTTAAAGGTCGCACTTCTAATACAGGATGCTGGTATAAAAGAACACTGGGGCAGCATTTTGCTGGGTTTTTTATCAAAGCTGCCATAAAGGGGCAGCCTAACATCATTATAGTGGAATCTGCCAGAGAGTCTGTTGGTTTAGGAGGTTAATAGGTATCTGCTGCAGTTGATCCTTAACAAACAACAGACTTCACAAAAAAGTGTTGAGCTGTGTTAGTATTTGATTTAAGTTAACAACCTTGTGTTCAATGCCTGTCCTGCAGTGATGTCTGGAAACTCAGCAGACTCCTTTTCAGAAGACTCTGAGGCAGAAGAGGAGGAGGACGTTAAGGAGAAGGCTGAGGTGATGGTGAAGAAGAAAGGACCAGGCAGACCACCACGGAAGAAGAGGGCACCCAATCCTCCTCCAGTCAGCCCACCGATAGCCAATGCCCATAAGAGGAGGAGCATTCCACCCAAATCAGGTAACTGTTAGTCAGTAACAAGCCTCCGTCACATCCACTTCCATTCATTTACACTTACCTCCCCCAATATCTCACAGGGAAGCGTGGTGTGTTGAAGCGCCCCTGGTCAGAGGCGGAGCGTGTAGCAGTGGAGACTCACCTGAAGAGAAACCTCATGGAGTTGCGCGTCCCTGCGAAGGCAGACTGTGAGCGCTGCCTCGAACTCTGCCCTCTGCTAGTGAGCAACCAGCGAGACTGGAGGGCAATCAAGTTTTATGTCCACAATCGTATCCAGCTGCTGAAAAAGCAGGGCAGGAGGGAAAGTGCCGCTGCGGTCTGCTAGAGCAAACAAAAGCATGGCAGAGGACACGTATCATAATGTATAAACCACCAGCAACCACCAGTGAGAAAATCTGTTGGTCGTGGTGGAGCGCAGCTTCTCTTTTCTTTCATGGGTGCTGTACCTGAAGTTAAGAGCATTTCCAGTTTCATCATCTGGTCATAAGGGAGTAGTGTAATAAACGTGACTAAACCAAGACAACAGAAGGGTCGTTTAAGTTAAGGATCGTTTAAGTTAAGGATCGTCCGTACTCAGTGTTGGAGATGCCCGTTCTCTATTTTCGAGATATGTTTTTAAGCAGCTGTACTTAGAAGTGTGAATTTGAGTACAGACACGGTGAATGCTTTTTAAAAGTTATTTTTACTCTATTAGATAGTTGACGGTGGGAGGGAACTGGGACTAAAGAGAAAGTGACATGCATCCATGGTCTCTGATGAGGCACGGTATGCGCTTTAGATTGTTAGACACCAGGACGTGCTCCCTCAAAAAGTCCTTGGTGTAGCATTCACGTCCGCTGAAGGCTGATGACCAAATGTGAATATGTAAAGCTTTGTAGGAAGAAACCAATGGCTCTGATCTTTAGAAACCCCACAGAGAGACTCTGTATCTTCAGGACTGAAATGCACATGAACTTGTATAGTTTGTGTTTCATAACTGGCATCACACCCCCCAACCCATGGCAACCCAGCTGATGAGTGTAGAAAAAAGTATTCTTCAGTCGTTCACTATGGTAACCTGTGAAGTGGTTCTTGCATACCTCTGATACCATGATCATCATCAGACTTGTAAGTATCAAGGCACGCCTTCTTGAATATATTGCGTATCATGATTTTTGAACTAAGTTTATTTCAGAATCAACTTATGGTCTTATTCACAATGTAAATATTTCCTAATCTATGAAATCTATACAGTAGTGATTACAAAGTTAGTATTGTGCTATGGTGTACATACTGTAAATACTACCTGTACTTATTAAAGTGTATGACATTTTGCTGTGTTTTCTTAACTGGATTGTGAAGTGAGTTTTACACTGAACAGCTGAGGAAATAGAAATGACAAACAGGATATCAGATTGATTGAGTTTATTCTAAAAGCTAATACTCATAATCATTGACAAAGCAGTATACAATGGATTCATTCACAATCTACATGTGCTGCCAGAGTTGGTTGGTTTACAAAAAGGCAGTTTTTGAGCTATATGAAGAGACCGGACAATAAAACCTGTGACTCAGTACTGTACCACAACCTTCAGTTATCTCACATTATTTTAGTGTTTTACACTTAAGTGTAGTGTGTAGTGCAGTGTTTTACAATTATAGTGTAAATCAGCACAGAAGCATAGATAAAAATGGTTCCATCTATAAATGATAGTCAGTTAATCTTACAAACAGTGGGCACAACAAAAACACCTTGCTTTATAAAAAGAAAAGCTGAAAAACTAGGTTAAAGCAACAAGATGAAAAGTCTTATAAGCCATACCGAGATGCTATTCACTAAACACAGGAGAACTGCACTGACCCTCAACACGGCGTGAAAGATGCAGCACACAGGAAATGGGGAGGGACAGCAGTGCAACTAACGATAAAGAACCCTGTGTGGAACCAGGGACAATGCAGTCGTAGTACACAATGTGTCTTAACCACTAGGTTATAAGAATGTCCAGCTGAAAAGCAGTTTGGGAAATAGGCTTATTTGTTGTCTTGCTGAGAGCTAGACAAGAAAACTGTCACCCTGTATGTTAAACAGAGCCCGTTCTGCATCACATGTGCATATATGTAAAGAGAGAAAATCTATTCCTTAGAAAAGGGAATTCTGATGGATGGATAGATGAGACCAACAAGTAGCTGCCTTTCCCACAACAGACTGGAGTTTGTCTCCAATTTGTGAAGTTGTAAGCTTATATGTTTGAATGCTAACCCATGGCCTTGTATCTTGTGAATTTTACACCAAGGATCAATAAATCTTATGATTATACTGTATTTTGCTTTATAAAACTCATTCTATAAAGTAACTAGTAAAAAATGTTATTAAATAAATATAGTGAGTACAACACAATATTTTTCTCTGAAATCTAGTGAAGTATGAAGTAGCAGAAAATGAAAATACTCAAAGTACTAATACCTCAAAATTGCATTTAAATACAGTACTTGAGTAAATGTACTTAGTTACTTTCCACCACTACTGCCAGTATTCAACAGTCTACATGCAGTACCCTTCAGTGTCAGTATTCAAAGCAAAGCATACTTGACAAAGCGTATATAGTACAAGTACAAGGCTGGCCGAGCTAGATATCTGTGTTAAACTAAGCCAACTGGCTGCTGGACTGCACTAATTAGAGAGTGCTATCAACCTTCCTCTCTAACCAATAATAAACTGTGTGCATATTGCCCACACTGTGAAAATATGTTTAATGATATATTTACCTAACAGCACCAGAGGCTACAGTGTCAAAATTGATCCCTGTGGGATAGACTGGAATGGAGCCGGAGTTTGTATAATTATCCGCATTTCAGCTTGAACACAATGTAGGTCTAGTTACAAATGTTTCAGTCTTGCAACAGCTGTGGCTTGTTGAAGTACAAACAAAGATTGTTAAAAGTATATTTTTCTATCCTGTTTACCTTGGGCACTGAATAGAGGTGCACTGCTAAAACATGAAACATTGTTACTGATATTAAGATTCAGCCTCTTGTGGTGTTGATTGTGCATAGTTCCCTGTGTCATCGCACTCATCTGGTGCTGTTCTCTGTAATATCTCCATAGGGGCTTTGTCACCTCTACCAGGATTGAAAAGAGGAAAGACTTCCCCCGAGAAATCAGCTTTTAAAGATCCAATAAGTTTTTTATCATCCACATTATAAAAAGAAAGCTCTCTGCTGTCATAATTCAAATACACACCAACTGTCTGCGGTCTTGAACGGACAGGCAGTAACACTTCTGGTTCTGTGTTAAACTGCAAGCTCTCCGCTCTGGCAGGGGATGAGGACAGGAACCAGAAACCATTAGATGAGCTTGGGGAAACACCATTCTCCCAAGGAAGGACAGTTGCACTTGTAACCCCTACCCACCAGGACTGTTTGAGGCCTAATTTTGCATTACCCAAAGAAACCTCCCAGTAGTGTTTTCCAGAAGAGAAGCCAGGTCTTCCTCTGACAGCTGTGAGACAAGTAACTTTAGGTCCGTCAGGAAACTGAACAATGGTATCTCTCAGTTTACCGTCCTTGATTGTGAGATATTCGCTCTTCACCTGGTCAAGTGTAACATTTTCTGTTGAAAATAGAAATTGAAATTAGAATAAATGTAGAAAAGGTCAGGACAGAGTGAGAGCAGTGAGGTATAGCGAGTAGAATACCGTAATGGTTGTTAGCTTCTGCAAGAGCTTCCGACTCATCTGTAACATAGAACAAGTCTGGTCAACATGAATTCTACACCACTCTCCAGCAACCAAAGACAATACTTTTATTTAAATTCAATACAACAAAATTCTTTTGTGTTGCAATGGCTAGATAGTGTCCTGCTTAGAATTTATGAATGATGAAAGATCAAGTTACTTCTTACTTTTGGGTAAAAGACTGCAGTTCTCTGGAAATAAAAAATGTTAACCCATGAATTTAGTTTTTTATTACACATACTGTAAAATCATAAGATACTGCGCTTTCTGTGACTCTGGTGTTTCTTACCCTCAGTGGATTCTTCCTTCTTAGAGCTGGCAAATAGAGCTGAAAATTGACAAAAATTAACTTTCACCTGTGTTTAGAATGTGGTACTTTTCTGAGCAAATATACAAAACATTCCCTAATTCCAGCTTCTCCATGGTGAGCATTTTCTGCAGGCCATTGTCTCATAATAGCCCACTGACTACATTTTAATTGGGATGCACCAAAGGATTAATCAACTAATCTAATCATAAGGATAATCATAAGCAGACACAACTAGTCTTTTTACTTTTGGAGATCAGTTTTTTTTTTACTGTGTGGCAGCAAATAAAAATATATTTACCTTTCCTTTTGAAGTAGAGCACTCCAAGTAAAACTAAAGTGGTGATGAGGAGAAGCGCGAAGGCCACCCATCCAGCCCCAGACCCCAAGGAGTGAGACTCTAAACAACAAAAGAAGAATTCTTGAATTTTTATTCAAAATGTAAAATGAATAAAGAAAATGCAACTGTTGCACACATGACAGTGATTCTCGTTACCCTGTTTAGCAGGTTGAACAGGGATTTCCAGCCGCACTCTTGCCTCCTTTGCCTCTCCATCAGAGAGACCTACTGAGCAGGAAACCTCAGAGAACCTGGAGACCAGAAGCCAGCTGTGCACTGACGCAAGACCAGAAGAATCTTCCCTGTACTCAAGACTCTTTGGGCTCAGATTCTGTTTCTGCTCTGACCAGCGCAGCTGAGGCCTTGGATACCAGCCATCAGATTCACAGCTCAAATTCACCAAGTCATTTTGTTTCCACACTACTGACATGAAAGGGGAGGTCCCCGTTGCTAGGAAGAGGATCAGAAGAAAAAGTGTAAAGACATACATTTTTTAAAACCAACTTTTAATTTCAGTTTCATGACACTCACCTGTCACACTGAGACCGACTTTTCCTTTGTCATAACCCTTGTCACTGCTGACATAACAAGTGTAAGCTCCATCATCCTGAAGTGTGACATTCACCAGCTTCAGGCTCACATCACCTTCCTTCAGCCCACCAGATGCAGCATCCTTTAAGCCAAATGAGGCTCGGCCCACGTAGGAAGTTTCCTGGGGTGTTTCAAATGTTTTTGCCCGATAAGATAGGATCGAGGTATCAAAGTCATCATTACGATACCAGCGTACCTCCAGAGCCTCTGCACTCTGTGGTGGCTGGAGCCAGCATGGTAAAGTGACTGTCTGGCCATGGTGCGCTCTGACAGTGTTCTTGACCATAACCACGACACTGTCTATAACTGTAAGAAACAACAAAAATGATATTAGATAGGTACATATGTTTCGCCCTGGATCATCACTGACGGGATCCAAGTATCCAGCGTTTGGAAAGAAATTGTTCTCTGTGGTGAGTGTTAAACAAATTGTTCACATACATTGAGAAGAATGTTGAATTAGTAAATCAGTGTTAAACAAATTGTTCACATACATTGGGAAGAATGTTGAATTAGTAAATCTGGGAAAGCTATTCCATTATTGTGTAAATAACTGGCGATCCCTCGTCTTGTGATGTATGAATTCTTTTGAATACTGGGGTAGGTATTCCTGAGGGAATACTGAGGTAGGTACTTATATAAAAGTACTGAGTGTAGGTGTCACTTAAACGTGATACTGAGGTAGGTGTCCTCAAATCTGGAGTTTAAGGCGAGGACACTGAGGTCCTGTTCTGGTCACAAAAAAAGGTATAAGTGACTGAACCCTAACAGAGACGTCCGTTTTGTACTGGTGATTATAGTTGTGCACAACTCTCATCTAGGACAATGGGAAACAAGACAAGTAAGGAGGATCCTCTGGAGAGTTCAGTTATTGACATGATGAGGGGAAAGTATGGTGACAAAAGTGTCCAAAGTGTGGCCATATTTGTTTTTTCCCCACGGGGTTTTAAGTGTAAAAAAGATTGAGGAACTTGAAAAGAAACTAAAGGGAAAGTAGGAGGCGTTATATAAGAAAAAGAAAATATCACCGAAAGAACTTAAAGATGTAGAAAGTCATAGAATGTGTTTGAACATATGAAGCAGAAAGGAGGGAAAGAAAGAGAATGTTTAAGGAAATGTCCAAATCAGGAAAGCCTAAAGAATGTCTTGCCATTAAGGGAGAAAACAGTGATCTGTCGCCCAGTTCTCTGTGTCCGCAGCCTATGGCCCTGAAGCTGGACCACCACCACCACAGCCCGGACCGTCTGTCACGCACCAACTTCAGGACAGACCTGACGTGAAACCCCCACCATACGCCCCACCCACTTTGACAGAGGTCCGCTATGATGCCTCCGTCCTCACAGAACTCACAGAACTGAAACACATCTTAGCAACTGCTTTCTGAATGGACTGAGACCTGACATTGCAGCAGCAGCTAAGACATCCTGTGTTGGCTACACAGACGCTCGTCTGAGTGAACTACGACATCATGCCAGTCATGCACAGGATTGGCTGCAATAACATAATTGAATAACAAATGATCACGGACATAAAAAGGCTACAAATTATAGTCAAGTGGTAAGATAAAGTCACAAACAGTGAAGATGTGAGCTTAAGCCATGTGCTCATGAAGCCATGTGCTCACCACAAGCGTTTCAGGTGCGGCTTTAAGTCTATTTTTCGGAGCTACGCGCGTAAAACGCTCGTCAGAATCTATCAAAACAATGAAAGCTCACTAGTTCTAACCAAACCTCCGCCAAAATAGAGAAATACGTCAAGTCGATTCAGTTTAAATACGATCTACCATCTGTTCCATCAATCTCACCGAGCGTGCAGGTCTTTTTAACGTGTTGTTTCATTAGTTTTATGGTAGGTTGCATACATTGTCCCTCACTGCACCATTTGGTTTTCCCTTTTAGAGTATGCTTTTGTGGCCTCCTATATAGGCAAGCTGCACGCTGTATTTGTGGTGTAGACACGGTTTCGGAGAAGACAGGTGGGCCGCTTACCAGGTGCAGCACCGGACAAAGATGCACAGAGAACCGTCGCAAGGCACATGTGTATCAGTTGTAGACCTGAAAATAGAGGGTATTCGTTAAACCAGCCATCAGGAATCTGACCTAGTGTCCTGCAAACCTACGATCAGTCTAATATCAATATAGCTCCAATAACAGCAAGAATATTAGGCTAACAGCCTATTTAGAAATGGATTGATCGTAAACACTAGGCCTACCCGTCATAGTGTTCCAAGGTGAAATATCCTTCACGTAACCGAGGTACAACTCTTAAAGACAGATATTATGTAATTCCGTACTAGATACCAAAGATTTAAAGTCAGGATTTTTCGTGTAATTTCCTTTTCTTGGGAAAATGAACAGCCCGCTCCGCTTTCGAAAGTGTTCTTTTTAGATATAGCCCCAATTCACTTTCACTTTTGCTTTTGCTTCCAGCACCATCTCGTGTCGGTATAAGATAGTTCATGTTTTAGTCAGATAGGTGTAGGTCAGGGGTGTCAAACAAATACACAGTGGGCCAAAATTAAAAAGTGGGACAAAGTTGCGGGCCAGACTCTATATTTATTGAAATATTGAATAAAATTGAGCATGTTTTTCCTTCTCTCCAGATATATAATTCTAAACTTTTTCATATGGAAACAAACAAGTTGCTTAAACATTGAATTTGGAACAAGCAAAGCTTAATATTATAAACACACGAGAAATCAAATTTCAAGTAAAAAACCCATCAGTGCCATTCGTTTCTTATTGTTTTGTGAACATTTTCTGCCATGAAACCAGACTTATTTTCATCTCCTCCACCTTCTGGAGCTTCTGCTTCATGTCCAGGTCCATGTACTTGTCTTGGTTTCATTTCATAGTGTTTTCTTATTATGTATTCTTTCGTTACAGCCACTTTGGCTCCGCACACAAGACAAACAGGTCTGTCCTTTACATTAATGAACAGATCATCTTCAAAATATCAAGGAAATTTTAAATTTAAATGAAGATATGAAATACAATATAAAATACAATGACTTAAATTATATTATTGTATATACTAGGTCATCAAATCAGCGTCAGTTGAGTCTGTCAACTAGGTTGCCTGTAGGGATTTTTAAGGTCCAGCAGGTGTCAGTATTCAGTGACACAGTATCAATACAGTATCGATACAGTTTGGCAATGTGTCGAAACGCTTCATGACGCCTCATCTACCCATCACTACAACATCGCATACGATTAGTTCACCCTTCGAGTCATTCGTTTTTTGTAACGTGACATTACCGCTTTGTTGGATATAGAGATTAGTTAATTTTCAACCGTTCTTAGTTTTTTATTACTCTTACTGTTACATGATGCATTTATTTTTTTATCATAAATTAGCTCGTTTCCTACAGACTATAGTTTTGTGAATATCTGTCAATATGGTTCTTTTCCAAAACACTTAATGTTTTAATAAAGAGTTGGTTAATGCTTTAAACTTCATCAGGGGAAAATCTTTCTTTCTTACTTACATACTTTTATTTATTTTTTTTATTAACAAAAATAAACATCTGAATAAACATCGGATAACCCTTCAGTGTAGAAAATAGAAATGTATAAATCCATGCATAAATCTGAGTGTTGTTTTAATCTATATGTACTTATTTAATAAGAGATTGACTCTTGAATGGTTGCTTATTGTTTATTTTTATTTATAAAAATTTTATAGCAAAGGAAATAACTATCTCAAAATAAATTAAAATAAAATAAATGAAAACTCAAGCAAACTGTAAAACCACAGAGCCTAATAGCCATTACCAGTTTAAGTTTTAAAGTCTGTGTAACATACACCTTTGAAGTATAGCTTTTTAGAACACTGCACACACTCTTGGATTATTACAATACAAAACAAAAAATAAAAAAAATGAATCAAATAAATTTAAAATAAAAATAAATGACACTATACAGCCACAGAGCCTAATAACCATATCCATATTAAAACATATTATAAAGTCTAAAAACAATATTACACAACAAGTTGGGCTTTTTAAATAATTATATTAAAAAATAAATAGGCTTGTTACACACTGTGGCTATTTTTTAAAATCCTGCTTTAAGGCATGTTTGCATTCAAGAAAACAAGCTCACGGACCTTGGATGGGCTGAGCCTGTTTCTTCTATCAGAGATAATCTGGCCAGTCTTAGAAAAAATTCTTTCAGATGGCACAGATGTAGCCACAATGCAAAGTCTTGCCTTCATAACCTGAGAAAGGCTTTTGTACACAGGAGAACATCTCTTCCACCATACCAGAGGGTCTGATGTACGGGGTAAGAGTTGCTCCGCAAGGTACGACTGCATCTCCATCATGGCATCGGACGTATGTGAAGTGGAAGCGGAAGGCCTCAAGCTTGCTACCCTTTCATCAAAGTCTTCCCAAAACATGGCCCCTGTATTGGCTGTCACACTAGAATCTGGAGGATTCTCCTCTTCTCTATGAGTTGGGTTAACAGCTGCTGCAGCTGCTGTAATCCTCTTCACTGTTTCCTCTGCAGCCTGGTGGTTGACAAATGCTTGCTTTTTGAACCTTGGGTCCAAGCAAGTAGCATCAGCTAGCTTCTCAATAAGCTCCATTCTGCCAAATCTTCGAGTCATTTCTGCCATCAGGGTGTCCACTAGATTTTTAACTGGTTCAAATTTGGAGGGATTTACTTGATTCCGTGCAACAATTCTCTGAAGTCCTCTTGTCATCAAAATGACTTTGGAGGCAGTCACATACCTATGAAAATGAACAATTGTTTGCATACAATTAATTATATCATAAATTAATAATACACATGCTTCTCTTAAAAATAACCAATTTCATGGAACAAATATTAGAATTTAGGTTGTAAATGTGGGTCAGTGCTTCTGATAGTGTTTAGGCCAGCAGAGAAGGCCTTGCTGGCCCTGACGGCCCACCACTGTTGGTAACCCCCTCAAATGGTTTAATTATATCCATTGTTTCTCTGGCTATTTCCCAATGCTCAGACGACAAGGTTGGCAGAGGTGCCTTAGTGAGTGCCAGGGTGGAAATGATCAGCTCCTTGATGTCAATAAATCTTTTCAACATGTAAAATGTTGAATTCCACCTTGTGGCCACATCCTGTTTTAAATGCAGTGGTTCTTGACCCATCTGTCTCTGGGTGGCTATGAGCCTGTCAGAAGCAACTGTGCTTCTGTGGAAGAATTCAACTATAGTCTTGACTTTGTGCAACATTTCTTGTACCTCCTTCAGTGCAGCTGTGACAATCAAGTTCAGCATGTGGGCAAAACAAGGTATGTGGTCCCAGTGGAGGTGGTCTCTCAGGGCTGAAACCATGTTGCTGGCATTGTCTGTAACACAAGCAACAATTTTGTCACCCACACCCCACTCATTTGTAACCCTGGTCAGCTAAATTGCCAGGTGAGCAGCAGTGTGTTTGTCTGACAAGACAAAGCAGTCCAGGAGATAGGAGGTCATCTGAAAATTCTCTATGAAATGACAAGTCACGGCCAGGTAACTTGTGGTAGTCACAGAAGTCCAGCAGTCTGTTGTGAGACATACAGCAGAGACACACTTGATTTTGCCCATTATATCTGCTCTTAATTTGTCATACAGCCTAGGCATTACAGTTTTTGACAGTGTTTTTCTGCTAGGTAGTCTGTATGATGGGTCCAGAAGATTTGAATACTCCTTAAACCCTTATCCTCCACAATAGAAAATGGCTGAAAGTCACGAGCAACCATTTTGACCAGAGCCTCGTCTAGTTTGCTTTGTCTTAGAGGATCCACTGGTCTTGTCACGAAACTGGTCATAGTTTGCTGTTGTGTGGTGCTGGGTGCTGCTGGCATACTGAATTCTGTAAATGTGGTCAGCCTGATGGTCAAAGCAGTTGAAGCACCAGCTGTTGGTAGAACACCGCCGGTGGTAGAACAGCTCTAGAAGAGCCACCATCTTCACCCTCTGTTCTAACTTGTTCTAACAGCACAGTAGGATGTGAGGATTTAAGGTGTCTTCTCAAATTTGAAGTGCTTCCTCCTTTAGTGGAAAATATTTTATTGCATATGTTGCATTTTGCTTCAGTGTTTGAAAATGCAACAAAATGAGTCCAAACATCACTCCTTTTTCTGGTGCTCAGTGTTGGACCTGGAAAAACATGTCTGGCATTGTTATTCAGCAAACATGACCCTCTGTATTTAGCCAACACTGAAATGTGAGCCAAACTCCACCGAAAACACGGTCAAATTATAATGGACAATCTTTATATATTACTGTAAATACTTCGTGAAAGTGGTAAACATTTAAGCAAAGTTCGGCTTCATATTAGGCTCAGATGTTATTCCTATGGTTCCTTCCTGCTATTTCTACCGTCAAAAACATCCTGATGGCTGGTAGTGTAAGGTCGGTTTCAATTCCAACTTTCACTGCGATACGAACTATCTTGTGTTTTATCCGTGTGCCGAATTCATTAGGACATTATTTACCCGTATTGTGTAATAAATAATATTGTGTAAATTGTCTACAAGACTGTGTAAATCAACTCTGAAATACTAAGTTTGCTTAGGCAGTTTGGAGTTTTGCTACTACGGTTGTTCGCAGTAAGTCTTACCATGCGGGGAACATGGAGGCGTTTTACCGCCCTTTGAAATAATAACCTCTCTTCTCAAGCTGTCGTCGATAGCCTCGGTTATATCCATGTCGCGTATATTTCACAGTTAGTTTATTCGCATAACAAATCTTTCCGCACAATTCAACCTGACCAGAAGAAACCATGCCATAGAGTCGCACAGCAACCAGGGGGTGACTTAATGGGGCAAGTTAAGTAAAAACATTCAGGGAAGTACATATATTACAAATTTTGATAGCTTTTTTATTTTCGCTCTTCAGGATGGAGGAGAAATAATTTTTAATTTCGCATAACAGGGCAGGGAAGAAGGGTTTAGATTTAGAGAATTTGCATTTGTGAATATAAAATTTTGCCATGAGTAGAATAAAGTTAATTAAATGTAGCTTGTCACTTTCCTTTCTATTATTGTTATACAGACCAAATAAAACATGTTCCCATTTCACAGCAAGGGGATAGTGAATTTTGGAGGTGATGAATACAGAGACATTCTGCCATAAATCATAACAAAATGGACAATCCCAAAATAAATGAACAGTAGTTTCTTCTGAGGAATTACAGAAAACACACGATGTATTAATTAATTAATTAATAGACATATTAAATCTTGTAAGATAATGAGCAGATGGGTAAAATCTGTGAATTAACTTAAAGGAGACCTCTCTTATTTTATTACTGATCATATATTTAAAAGGCAATAACCATACTTTATCCCAGCAAATGTCCGGAACCAAAATATTCCAGTATGATATAATATATGGCATAGACACTACATCCTGTTGAAAATTGGTCCGAATAGCTCGATTGTTCTTCTTTCTTGTAGTGGTGAAACATGTTTTTCCTATGAATTTATTATGACTTATTATAATCTCTCTGTCTTCAACTGTAATTCCTTTGAGATTGTTGGATTTTAGATGGTCAGCGAGGAGTTGAGTAGCCAGTATAAAAAGGTAAGGAGATATGGGACAACCTTGTCTGATTCCCCTTTTTAAGTCAAATCTAGGCGTAGTTCCATATTTTAATTTAATCGAGCAATTAGCACGACACCAGAAGGTGCTTGAGGGTCTTGATTGACGCGCCACCGCACTAGCAAAGCATTCTGGGATTTGCAGTATTAGCGGTGCATGCGATATACACTGGCGGGCCAGCTCTAATAAACATTTGAAATAATCTCTATATACTTACACCGTGAGTCAGATTTGGCATATATGGTAAAGGTAGTTTTCTTGAGTTTAGGATCTCCATTTCAGAAGAGACCTGAAGGGAAAATAAACAATACACAACAAGGAAATGAAAATAAAAGCAACAACAAACAGCATCAAAGAAACACTCTAAAATAAAATACTAAAAACATGTCAAACAAAAATGTAAACACAATTTTCAAACACACGAGACACTGGTTCAACATTAAACAATTACAGATACGTTCATAATGCGTTCAAGTCTTCAGAAGAATTGAGAGATTTTAGCAGCATTAGCATCAACGATAAGAAATTCGGCTAGTTCAAGGGGTTAACATGATTTACATGAGTATGAATGCCTGGATAATGTAGGAAGCCTTATACTTTGTGATATGCAGCATTGCAATATAATGTTCAAATATAAGTGATCTAAGAATTGACCATTTCATCATAAATCATAAACCATAATGTAAGTCAGAAAGCCATACAAAGCATGAGGTTTTTGTCAGAATGTGGCATTGTAACACAATGATATGTGATATTAGATAACCTAACCCCAATCTGAAGAAGAAGAAGAAGAAAAACAGCAAAGCAGCAATAGGAGGGTTGCACACCCGTGACTATTATGGCGCGCGTAACTCAAACGAGGACAGGAAGTGAAAACCCGAATTAAGAGGTGAAATAAAGTCTGTATTGTGCTATTTCAAGCGATATTAGGAGAAATGTATGAAGAGGAAATCATAGCATATGCGGGACGTGATTTTTATATTACGAAGGGGAGCGATTTTTCAACAGAACTCAGCAACGTTCCAACACAGTAACTTTGTTTTTTTTGCTTTATTAAAGTGTATGACAGGGCAGGGAAGAAGGGTTTAGATTCAGAGAATTTGCATGCATAAAATTTTGCCACAAGTAGAATAAAATTAATTAAATGTAGCTTGTCACTTGTCATATAGACCAAATAAAACATGTTCCCATTTCACAGCAAGGGAATAATGAATTTTGGAGGTGATGAATACAGAGATATTCTGCCATAAATCATAACAAAATGGACAATCCCAAAACAAATGAACAGTAGTTTCTTCTGAGGAATTACAGAAAACACACGATGTATTAACAGACATATTAAATCTTGTAAGATAATGAGCAGATAGGGTTCCAACACAGTAACGTGACGTTATATGCAACCCGCCTATTATTTTGAAAAAATGGAACCGGAAGTCTCCGCTTAACCTTGTTTGATTTAATAGTGTAGCGCCCTCTGGTATTAGTCCAATTTTGTAAAGTTTTGTGTGACGTACTGGCGTTTATAGACCTCGCTTGGAAACTACTCCACCTAACTTTTTGTGTGGAATTACACTAATATTCTTTATAAAAAGGAACAATGTGAGCTTGAGTTGCTAACGTTAGCTAACACAACGGCTAGCTTTCCAGAGCCTTTCGGAGAGTGGTAGCGTTAACCAAATATTTAGCGTCGACCGTGTTGTTGTGTGACATTTTGCTAAATGGTGACTTAGCAACACGGGTTCACATCTCCAAAGTGATTTTGCTGCTTTTAACTAATAATGGCTCAAGTTGTTGACGCTGACGATACCACTCCATTGCTCAGGGACGATGCAAGCAGGTGAGTGCAGAGTTCAATAGCACTGACTTGACACATCAGCTACCATTAATTCGTTTGTTTTAAACACTGAACAGGGAGCTTTACAAGTGCATTGTTTATCATCAGGCTGTGGAAACGCTGATATCAGTAAATCCTGGGTTTGAACCATGCATTATAACGAGTTAAACGTTTTGGGTCATGTTGATTTGCTAGTACTTTGGTCAGTCGTGTTTATCAGTAAATATCAGTGATCTCAGATCACATGTACTGTCTTGTCCCTTGCTTATTTACAGTGATGCTTATTTACAGTGATGATCATCATGATGATGATGATTACAAGAGTCGGTGGAGGTCTATTCGAGTCATGTACTTCACCATGTTTCTCAGCAGTGTAGGTGAGGATACCCATGACATACACTGGTTTTGACACTTATATTTATATAATGATAAAATCCATTTGCAGAAACACAAAGGGTACACAAAGGATCTCCTCAATGGTAAGATGGTGAATAATGATCAGGGAGAATGTGCCATGGGGCACACTGAGTCACTGATATATATTCCATCTTTTTTTCTGAGCATTAGCAGTTATATCCATCCAGTCAGAGATATATACAAATCCATATCTAAACAAAATTCACACATCTAGTATGACGTTTCTGTACTCTGAAAGACTCATAGCTTTTGAGTTTTTTGCCACAGTAAATATGATGCATCTGTGTGTTTGCCTGGTTTGTGTCTTATACAATATCATTCTTAACACAATGCTATTTGTGTCCTTTCAGGTTTCACTATTGTGATCACATCACTTTGGCCCTATTTGCAAAAGGTGTGCACGATTTACCATTTTCTTGGTAAAAGATTGTTGACTGATAAGATTAGAATACTGTGTTTTTGTTTTCAACTGCAAGAAGAAAATACAGAAATGAAAGGAGCTACAAATAATGTTTCAGATACTTGCATTTGTATTTAGCAGAAGTACTGTGTAGCTAACCAATTCTAAATACTTAGGCACATTTTGGTCATGTGATAAATGCAACAGCATGTTCGATAATGGGTCTCTGTCTCATAGATTTGCACTGTATAGCAGTCTCATCATAGTGTCACACTAAGTTTAATAGTGGAGCCTCTAAGGAACATGCTCCTGCTTTCTCATGCTATTTTTCATCTGTGTTTATTATAGATTGATGATAGTGTCAATGCCAGCTTCCTGGGGTGGGTGGTGGCAGCCTACAGCCTCGGTCAGATGGTTGCCTCACCCATTTTTGGCCTGTGGTCTAATTACCGACCACGCAAGGAGCCACTGGTGTGCTCCATCTCCATCAACGTGTTAGCCAATATCTACTACGCTTATGCATACCTGCCGAGAACTAATAACAAGTTCCACACGCTCATGTCCAGAGCCTTAGTGGGCTTTGGAGCAGGTAATTGTGAGAGTGATTTTTTGAAATGCTGAGTTATAACTGAATAATTGTACTTGTCTTTTAGGGCTATTTGATTTGTTCATAGTCTGTACACATGTCTATGCTCTAATATATGTTGATGTAGTCAAGAGTCAGACATCTCCTTTTCATGGCAGGTAATGTTGCCGTGGTGAGGTCTTATGTTGCTGGAGCTACATCACTGAAGGAGAGGACCAGTTCCATGGCAAACATGAGTGCCTGTCAGGCCCTTGGTTTCATCCTGGGACCAGGTAAAGATGACTATATTTAGTTCTGCAGACAGCAGTGCTGTGAGAGAAGTGTATGTTGGAAAAATAACCAGCAAAAAGCTGTGGCCATTTGCATATCTTTGTATTTGTCAGCTCTACAGGCATGCCTGTCATTCATTGGTGAGCATGGTTTCACAGTGAAAATCATACAACTGCAGCTCAACATGTACACTACTCCTGCTTTACTGGCTGCAGCTTTTGGAGTCATCAACATCCTGCTGGTTCTTTGGGTGCTGAAGTGAGGCTTTCCCCTGCACAAATACACAATGTGTCTCCCTGTATTTGCACCAAATTAAAATCACCTTACTGTTTACTCCAAAATCCATTAATATAGTTAGGCTACACTTGTGTTGGTTATCTCTTAATTTCAGCACTGATATTAATGAACGGCTGTCTTGATTGTCACTGACACAGAGAGCACCGTGTTAATGACCATGGAAGACTCATTCAAGCCATCAACTACACATCAGAAGGTATGTTCGGTTTTCTTAATATAATTTACTGGAGACAAATGCAAAACTGAGAATGTGTAAAAAGCGATGAAAAAGTCACATTTAAGCACTTGCATCTGAAATAGATTTCACTAACTACCACTTCAGCACCCCCACTACTGGTATAACCAACATTAATGAAAAATCATGCAGAATGTAAAAAATTAGGTAACTCCACAGGTTCCACAAGTACAGAACAAATAGTGGCGTACTTTACTGACATATTTTCTGCTGAAAGCCATGTAGGTAACTTTTATTCCTCTCTTTCTTCTCTAGATGATCTTCATCTTCTGCATTGGATTTGAATCCATCTTTGTTTTCCTGGTTGTAAAAGTGGCCTCTCAAAGGTACCCACCCTCCTGCACGTATGCATTAAATAAAAATATAGAATGTAAAATATTTATTTCCTTCCAGGGTTGGAGATCGTCCTGTGTTGCTGGCAGGCTTGGCCATTATATTCTGTGGCTTTTTTATTCTGCTTCCTTGGGGGAACCATTACCCCAAAATCCAGTGGGCAGGTATGGATTGTTCTAAGTGCACAAACTGTTTCCTTTTCTTGTGTTGAAGTGAGTAAGTACTGCAAACTAGCTCTCATTGCTCTTTTTCATGGAAATAAAACAGTTTATCTTTTCTGAGGTTTTTTACACAACACTGTGCTATAGCAAGAATATTACTCTCATTGCTCTTTTTCATGGAAATAATACAAGAGAGAGTCACATACATGTCTGACACTGACATGTTTTGCTTGGTCTTTTCAAAATACAGACCTCAAAAATAACTCATTGGTCAGACAGATGTTTGAAGCCACCATAGCCTCCAATAGATCTTTGGAGCCAACCGGTTGTCCGTATGAGCAGACCTGGTGCCAGTATACCCCTGCAATACACCTAGCCCAGTACATCTCATCTGACATCTTGATTGGGGTGGGTTACCCTGCCTGCAACGTGATGTCCTACACTGTGTATTCCAAAATCCTGGGAACCAAACCTCAGGTAAGAAGACTGTAGGAAGTGTAGTGTTTAAAAATAGAAATGATTAAGGTGCTGTAACCACTTTGAATGTGTATGAATGTTTCTCAAAATGTTTTATTTTGCATCTTAATAAATTGACTACATTAACAATATGCATCTTTTGAGAAGCTGTAATGTGACTATTTACTGTTGCTTTCTTCAGGGTGTGTACATGGGATGGCTGACAGCCTCGGGTAGTGGGGCACGAACGTTGGGTCCTGTCTTTGTTTCCCATGTTTATACCATCCTGGGACCCCGCTGGGCTTTCAGCCTCATCTGTGGTATGGTGGTCGGGGCTATCGTCCTCCTGAGCTCAGTGTACCACAGACTCATTGCATTGTCTGTACGCCACAGAGGTACTGTAGAATAACAGTTCCCACTGAAGACATTGACAGCGGTTTGCTACTTTGCTTCTCAGATTTAGCCAGCATTCTGTCTATGATGACTGCTTTTTATTGCTGTTACTTTTAAGTGTGACAGATAATAAGCCTTTGAGATTTGTGATTCAGGCTAGACCTCTAAACTCAAAGGTGAAGAGACCAGGTTATTCTTTGTGACTTGACCAAAGATGGCTGCTTCGTTTTGAGTTAAAAGGGAGCTGGAGCTGGAGATGCATTTTTCACGCACTTATTGTAAAAGAAGCCATGTGATATATTTATAATCTTGCTTTGTTTTTTGCCTTGTTTGAGGTAGGTGCACAAAATCAAATGGACTTAAATCTAAGTTACTAAATGCCTGTTGCTGAAATTTAGGAGCTTACTGTATAGCACAGGTTTGTAATTGTAGTTTTAAAGATTAACATTTGCAAAACCTGAAAAGGTTCTGAGTGATATCTTGGTATCAAATTATGACATTAGTGTATGGAATTCACAGAACAGTTCATGTGGGGAAACCATGACCTAATTAATGGTACTTGAAAATAAGTGCTATCACATTGTTGAATTAGTTTTCAGCAACAAAAAATGTGCAGACTCCTGAATTGTGTTTGAGTCCTTGGATGTGACATTCCCTGTATGTACTGACTAAAGACTTTCAAAGTTGCTGCTTTGGTGGAGCAATGGAAAGGTTTTAGATTTACTGTTTCTTGTGAAATGTGTTTCCTGAGAGATAAACAAGCTTTACGTGTGTACAGGTTTTAGTCTACTTAAAATAATTCATTAAGTGATGTATGAATGTGTGTATGCTAATGATTAACTGAGTATTATGTTAATGTGATTTTGTATTGTCAGTTCACATTTCACTTGTGCAATTTAGTCTGGGCTAACTAAAAATGCACAATACACTTCATAGCCTTGTGTGTTTTATTAGTATATTTGTATACTAATACTATACCCATAGGGAATATATATATATATAATTACAAATGAGCTGCTGCAATATATCTATTCAGTGATGTGTATATGTGCAGTAACTACATTTCTAAAAATGTAAACAATTAAAAAAAAAAGCCAAATAGACTGATGTAATATGATTAGATGTTTTGAAGTGTGAAATATAATATGACCTAAAGCAATTGATGTCTTTAAAGTATTCTTCAGTTGTCTTGAATAAAAATAAATAGGTACCACTAGCATTCATATTACAAACCATGACTTTAAAATGCTGATTTTTTTCTCCCCCATATGATATATATAT